ATGTGGCTGTGGCTTTGTTGTAGGGCATGTGTTTAATATGTGCAGGCCCTGGGTTCTACCGCAGAAGGGTAAGGGAAGGGAGGAGAGAAAAAAGAAGGGGGAGGGAGGAGGTGGGGACCGTCAGACTGACCTCCAAGGTGGTTGTACCATTTTTGGACGTCTTAAAATGTCCAGATGCCATCATGACGGACATGACTAGTCCTCACCCAGCCATCTCTCACATCATTCAGCAGGCAGCCTGAACACCTTCAGGCCCTTCAGGATCCGTGGGCCTTAAAATGCCAGCCCAGCCCTAGTCTGGCCCTTGTGTCTGGCTCAGAGTACTTTTGCCTTCTCCCTGCTCCTCGTTGAGCACCGGCCTAAGGCCACGCTGCCAGGGATGTTGGAGCCTGCACATAACATTCCTGTAGGTGCCGGGCACTATAGCCAGCAGAGCCTCTGGGTCAAGGCAGGTCACTCATGAGGTCCTCACACTCTGTGTTCTGGCCATCAGCTCCATTTCACAGAGAAGACGGAGGCAGAGAGAAGTGCTCTCACTGGGTTGGGGCGCCAGACACAGGCACTGACGACAGTGGTACCTACAGTTCTGTCTCTCACAGAACAGAAAACACATGGATGCCCTGGGCCTTCTTGGGATGCTCCAGAAGGGAGGCCGTGTTTGCCACCGAGGACAGCAAAGGCCAGTGTGGCAGGCCCTGCTGGCCAGCTATTAGCAAAGAGATGCCGTTCCCCACAAACAGACTCAGCGGATGCTGAAATCCTGTTCCAGTGCCGTGGGTTTCCCTTGGAAGCCTGGGCACTCTTTTTGACGTAATGTCCTACAAAGTGTTATTCTAAAAGCAATGTCACGGGGCACAGGACATCTTGAAAGCATTCAGCAGCGAATTCCTAAACTGGGTCTAGCATTTAAGGTGCAGCTGGCTCCCCTGTACCTCCAGGGCCAGTTTCACAAAAGCCTCTTGGCTCTCCAAGGGTTTCACCCTCCCTGCCCCCATCACAGGTGCCCACCTCCCATCCAGCCCACCTCTTGTCTCCTGTGGCTCTTTTGGATCTCTTCTTTGGCACCTTCTAGGTGAGAGGACCTTGTTCTGGGTGCTGAGGCATAGTCACGAACAGGGAGAACAGAAGTCCCTGCTGAAGGAAGATGACATTCTAGTGAGGGCCAAGCAGTCGTGGTCTGTGGAGAGCTGGGAGAGGCTGCCTGGTTGGGAATGGAGGCTGGGCCAGCATGCCCTGTGGTATCCTGTGTCCTACATAGTTTTGATGGAGGCTCATGCAGTGCCCTTAGGAACACGAGTGGTATGCGTAGGGCCCTGTGGGATGCCGTGGAGCCTTGTGTGGTATTCGTGGGGTGCTTTGGGAGCCCTCTGGGCTCTGTGAGCTGCCTGAACCCAGCCCAGCAGTCCTGCTTTCTTTTTGTTTTTATCTATTTATTTTGGTTTTTCAAGACAGGGTTTCTCTGTGTAGCCTTGGCAATCCTTGACTCACTTTGAGACGAGGCTGGCCTGGAACTCACAGTGATCCACCTGCCTCTGCCTCTCAGAGTGCTGGGATTACCGGTGTGTGCCACGGTGCCCATGTCCGCTTCCTGCTTCCTTTCGCTCTCTCCTATAGGCTTTGTTTGTCCCGAGCTCCCTCTAGAAACCCCCTCCCCAAGCATCTTGCAAACCAGCTCAGCCCTCAGCCCTCAGAGGAGCTGCACTTCTCTGGAGAGGCCTAACTTGCTTCCTGTATCTAGCTAGGCCTCCCAGTTTATGCCCCAACACCGTAACCTTGGACCGCACTGTGTGCGCTGCTCTGGACAGTGCTCTGCCCATATCCTGCCCCCATCCCCTTCTCAGGAAACCCACTCTAAGCCAACGGGAACCGCCATGCTCAGAAACAGAACTCGTGGGGTAGATCTGGCAAAGGCTGTCCCTGAGACACAGACCCCAGTGTCCTTGAGGTGGGACAGTCCTGGTGGGCTTGACGCTCTAGGGAGGAGCTGCCAAGCAGGACCGCTGCTGCCGGTGACTAGACACACTCCTCTCCCAGAGCCTTTGTGCCAATGGTTCCTCTTGCCCTTTCCTCAATCAGCAACCCCCACCTCCAGGGAACCCGGACCAGGACCCTAACTCAGCAACCATCTCCTCGACCTCCTGAGTGGAAAGCTCTGGACAGCAAGAGCTGGGCCTGACCGCTTCCCCGGCAGGAAGTGGCAGCTTACAAACACTTGTGGAAAGGATGGTCTGGGCACCTTATGTCTTGTATGGAAAGAAGATGCCACAAGTGCCAGACAGACTACAGGACAGAGCCAGATCCTGGGCTTCTGAGTCCTCACCAGCCTAGAATAAGCCCCTTCTGAATTTCCTAAGCAGGGGAGTAGGTCAAGAGCCCAGGGGCCTCCTAATTCCACCTAGCCCAAAGCCTACCCAGTCCCTGTCACATCCACCCTCTGGTCCCGCCCCCAGATTTCAGCCACCTCTGACCTCAGGCAAGGCCATCCCCTTCTCTAGGTGGCTGAGGGCCAGGCTTTGTCTAGGCTGGGTCACAGAGGGGCTGCAGAGGCCTCTCTGGAGCTGAGAAGCCTGCAGGCCTCACACTCCATCCATTCACATACATGTAGAAGTCGTGCCCACTCCTGGCCCTGGGGACTCCAAGAGACCAGGAGACAAAGAATCCCTACCCTGACCAACTTAATAACCCTAGGACAGACAGTGAACAGGCCCAGGCATTATGGGGATTGACAGGCTCAGAATCCATTGAGGATAAACCCCACCTCGTGGTCTACTCAAGGGAATGTCCCATTCCCCGGTAACCCTAGAAAGGGAACCGTCAGCTTTGCATAACACCTGCTCCCCATACACTCAGCCTACCCTGAACTTTCCAGCATCCCAGGGGCTGAGATGCTCTTCCCCAAGAGCCTCTTCCCTGTGTAATCCAGACATTCTGGTTGCCCGCCCCTTCTCTTCTTTTGCACCTTTGACCTTCTGGCCGCTGCACTTGGTTTTTCTCTCTCTCCCTCCCCTCCCCCTCTCCCCACATGATTCAGGGTTATGACCGCTCTGACTGTCCCAGATGTGTCTGCCTCTGGCTATGCTCCCCCACATACCTTCAGCAAACTTTCTCCTCCACCATACCTAGGAGCATTCATGATCCTTTCTTTTCTTTTTACTTCTTTTCTTTTTTCTTTTTTTTTTTTTTTTTTGTATTCACTTCATTCATTTGCCAAGATGAGAGAAGGAGGCCAGCCAACTGACCACCAGGCCTGACAACCTGAACCGGCCTGATGGAAGGGGAGAACTGACTCTCAAGTTGTCCTTTGACCTACATACACACACACACCATAAATAAATACATAAATAAATAAAGTAATTCTGAAGTGCTTTTTAAAAATCTGAAAAGGAAGCTCTCCATGCAAAGGTCTAAAGAACTAAAAGGGGGTGGATGAGCAGGAGAAGGGGGAGGGGCTGAACAAAGGCAGGAAGCAGGGGCCACCAGGACAGGGTAGCAGGGACCAACCAGATCTTATCTCAAATAACCGCCCTCCAAAGATCTTGCTCAAGTCCTAATCCTCTTGACACACTCCCTCTAACGCAGAGAAGTGATGCCTCTTGATTGGCCTGGCAGGGCACGGGCTAGTTCCAACCGAGACTTCCAGCCATTACACTTCAATCTAGGAGATACTCTGTCCCACCGCACGGTCAGGCGCCAGCAACTGTAGTTCAGCCTGTCTGATTGCCAATCCCAAGGTGACCCATTTCATCCCTGAGAGGGCAGGAGAGTGAGTTGTCCCTTGACCACACCATCCAGGTACAGCTCTTGGCCCTACCCTCAAGTATCAAAGCACTTAATGCTAAGCAATGTGTCTTCCTACCACCTGCTCCTTCAATAATATGCCTGCAAGCTGGCCATCAGCGGTACCTTTTCAGGATGAGTCCCCCTGGCAGTCAAGTGATTTGAAGACCCTTTAGGGTATCAGCATAACCAGGAGAAGAGATGCTAAGAAAGTGCAAACGCAAGAGGACCCAAAATACAAGCAGTGTGTGGCAGCTAGGACCAACGGTGAAGCATACCCACAGGCCGGACCTAGACCTGCTGGCCAGGACTGTGGGGGAGGCTTACATACAGAGAATGGAGTCCCAACATGCTGGCCCCAATCGGCTTAGATCCTGGTGGAAGAATCCTGGCAGACCTCCAGGGCTACAGGCAGCTCCAAGCCAGCAGCTCCAGAGCCCACCCCCCTCACCCCACCCCACCCACCTCCTGCAGACCCTGCGATAGGGAAGCACTGCTGGAATTCCCCTAAACCACTCTCTCAGGGGCTATTGAAAACACCTCTCCTTCTCTGCCCACCTGGAATCATCCACATCTGCAGAATGCAGGGTCTCTGGGCCCTGTGCTGGCGCAGAGGGCCAGAGATCCTTCAACTCACGGAAACAGTTTAGAGAAAGGAAGAAATTCCCTCAGCACGGGCTTTGGCCACGGAGATCCCAGAGTCTGAGCCCGTGGCACAATGGAAGCAATTTCCAGAAAGCAAACTGACACAGGTCCTAGCAACAGCATTTGTCTGGACTCAGTCCTCAGCTCCAGCCTTGCGCTGGCCTCACAGTGTCACCAGTTTGACTTGTGCTGGAGAAGGGCTCCTTTCAGCCCCCATCCCTCCCCTCCCTTCTTGTAGAGGAAACAGGGCTGCCCATCTCAGGGCCAGGCTTCCTCTATAGGAATGGATGATGCTCAGTGCCCGTGTGGAAGGAAAGAGGGCAAGGCAGTAAGAGCCAAGGAATGAGGCAGTATGTGCAATGGGGTAGGGAGTGGCCAAGGAAAAGGCTAAAAGCCTACCCTGGAGTCTGAGAGAAGGCCATGCTCTTTCTCCTGTCAGCAATGCTGCTGCCATGTCCTATTCTATCCGGGGAGGCCGTCCAGCCTGCAGGGACCCAAGGAAGTACAGATGCCCGGCACGTGACAGAGGCAGGCAGAGGGCAATGAGACTCGCATCAACACAACAGCATTCAAAGAGATCAAAATGCATTTAATGTGGTCTAGTCTCGTCGCCTACATCTTTAAATACCGCTATGTATTGAAAATAACATGAAAATTCTCCAGTTTCGCCATTTAAAATAGAGTTAACATTCTGTGACCTCACACAGGGCAGGCCCCCGAGCAGGGGCCTCCCTGTGCTGTGTTCTTCTGCCCCCAGGCCCTCAGCTGGACAAGGACCAGGTGACACAGCACCAGCACGGGCTCCGGGGAGCCGTTTCACCCCGTGCAGCTCTCCCAAGCCGCACACAGCACGCACCCCACTGACACTCACATACAAGAACCCCAGGACCTCCACGCACTCACACATGCTCACCCATGCTCACACGCACAGATGCACCCACGGCCTCTGACAGGATCTGGTGCCGGGGCTTACCATCAGAGGCCTCAAACTGCTGCCTGCTGCAGACGGCCCGCTTAACCGGGGCAGGGCGGGGACTCAAGTCGGACTGTGGTCATGTCTGTGGCCAGCATCCAGCCTGACCAGTTCAGGTTGGTGAGCACTAAACCCGGTTTAGCCCAATAAAAAACACACAAGCACACACATACCTGCGGGCAGCCATGGACTACCTCCACACAAACACCTGTGTACACAAAATCCTGCATACCGAGTTTCACATACAGGGAGGCGATTGTGGGATGCACCCTGGCTCCCCTTCTCATGCACTCCCCAGGGGCCAAGCTTTGCTGCTTGGCCCAGGCACATGGCTCCCCTCTCTGTGGCCTCCCCTGTTAGGTACACTAAAGAGGGGGGAGGGGGCTGGTTTGGTCTTTAGCACGAGCAATAAATAAACACAGGGAAAGAGGAAAAAAAAAAAAAGAGGGCAGGAGAATTTGAAAATACAGCAGTCTGCCTGCCTTTGGCAGAGATGAAAGGCAGCTTGAGCTGCCCTCCAGCAGGGCCCAGGGACCGGACCATTCTGGCAGGCCTGAGCCTGGAAGGAGGAGGGGTGAGCATGCTGAATGCGTCAGGCCACTGAAATGATGAGCTGGGAGCAGGCCCTGGGGAGCCAAGAGCGGTCAGACCCTGCTCTGGATACGGACCCACCTACTCAGAAAGAGCAACAGTTGCCCAGGTTCCTCCTTTCTCCCCTCCCCAACCCTCAGCCTGGCAACCAGATGGAGGTGAGAGCCAAGCATTCCCACCCTGAAATGCACCCTCAGGCCCCAGAGCCAAGGCTAGAATAGTCAGTGAGATTTGGGGGCCAAGAATGCAAGGGAGATGAGGCCCCTGCCTCAGGTCCTAGAGGAACCTCCTAGGCTAGAAATTAGCATGGAATCTTAAGCTAGATGCCTGGGAGCAAACCCACCTCAGGTCTCCCTGACCGGGCACTAGGGGGAAGACTCCATGGCTTGGGGGTGGCCTCGGGGAGAAAAAGCTCCACCACGAGCCCCTTAAGACTGAACGAAAATTCTTTATGACGTTTCTCTGATCGTCTCTATGGCTGGAGGGGTCTGGTGGAGGATGGGGATCCCCCCAGCGGCAGATGACTGGCTGGGGTCAGCAGGGCTGTGTCATCCTGCCCCGGAGTGTGGTAGAAAGTCAGGCAGGGACATGGCTGTGAGCCAGGCGGACTGCAGCCTCTGCACCCTCAGAGGGGCTTATGGGAGCTTCATGAGTGGAGTCCGGGGCAGCAGGGAAAGATTAAACAAGTCAGATAAAACTAAAAATGACCGAAGCCAGACAACCTGGAGTCTCTAAGGCACGACTCAAGCTGTGAGTCCAGTGGGGAGGGGGGGAGGGTTGACCCACTTCCTGGGAATGTGGGACCCAGACCCCATGCTAATTTCCTGAGTGTCCTTTCCTAAGAAGCACCCACCCTGGTGTTTCCTGCTGGCCCTCACTGCAAGGGGTGGAGACCTCGGGCGGACAGGGAAGGAGGCACGCGGGACACAGAAGGGGGTCTACACCCAGCCCTGATGTAGCTGAGGTACAACATCAAACGCACAAGATCAAGCCAGATTTGCCCTAGCGGGCCCCCACCCCCAGAGACACCCAGATGCTTTATTAGGATCATTAACACAGTCACAAGCAGCCTGATTCATCCTTATTCATGACAACTTGCAGGGCCCTGGCAGACCCCCAGAGAACCTTCAGGGCACTCCATCCAGCTGCCGGCCCGGCCGCACTGAGTAGAATCCTAACTGTCCCCACACCATGAATTTTAAAAACCAAACCAAATGTTAGTGTTTTCTTGTGTTTGTTTTGTGGGGTTTTTTGTTTGTTTGTTTGTAAACAGTCTTATCCAAGTTAAAAACCAATGAAGTGTGCAAACGCAGCCTTCTCCCGCCAAGGCTGGGAACCTGCTCCCCAGACCTCCAGCAGACTCCCCGACTCCTGTGGTTCACCCTACCCCCAAGAGGTCACCTCCTTGCCCGTGTGTAGCCATCAGGCCATGGGCTATTCATTCCGACCGCCCACTCTCCCGCCAACCTTCCCAAGCTATTGCGAAAAAACACGAAAAGACTAAGATGCTACTGAGTCTGTGACCCGAGGCATTTGGCCTGCTCTGCTCAAACCCAGGTCCCCGAGGGACAGGGGACGACCATTCTTGGTCAGGGCGGTGCTGCGCCTAAGGCAAGGGCGCTCAAATCTCTGACTCCCGTCTGTAGGGCCGCTGCTCCAGGGCGCCACTGCTGGCCTGGAGCCTGTCAAAGTCATGCTCAGGCTGAGGGCTGCGGCCATCCCTTTCTGTGGCCACCTCGTCCTCCTCGTCCCGGCTCAGGAAGGCCAGCTCGTTCTCATAGCAGAAGGAGTTGGCACTGGGCAGGAGGAACTTGTTCTCCACCAGGTCCTTGGCGCTGCAGCGGGGCGTAGAGGGCACCTCGTAGGTCTTGTGGAAGTGTGAGTAGTCAATCTTGTACTGGTTCTTCTCCTCAAAGAGCACCGGTTCAAAGCGGTGGCCCCACAGGATCTCATTAGCTAGGTAGGAACTGCGAGCCTGTGTGGTCATGGCTGTGGCTTCCACCATGCCTTCTAAGATGACCACAATCTCAAAGTCGTCTGTCTCGAGGTCCTGGCGGCTAATGCCGAACAGTGGGCTGGCCTCATCGATCTCGTGCAAGATGGTGATGGGCGAGACCAGGAAGATGCGGTCCAGGCCCTTGTCAAAGCCCACGTCGATGTCAATCTGGTCCAGCGGGATGTACTCACCCTCCTCCGTGACCCTGGGCTTGATGAGCTGGGCCCGCACGTGAGCCTCCACGATGTGGCTCTTGCGCAGGTTCCCCACGCGCCACATGAGACAGAGCTTGCCGTCGCGCAGGGCCACCACGGCATTGTGGCTGAAAAGCAGGGTCTGCGCTCGCTTCTTGGGCCGGGCCATCTTGGCCATGATGGCACCGATCATGAAGGAGTCGATGATGCAGCCCACGATGGACTGGGCCACCACCATGAAGACGGCCACGGGGCACTCCTCGGTCACGCAGCGCAGCCCGTAGCCGATGGTGGTCTGCGTCTCAATGGAGAAGAGAAAGGCTGCCATGAAGCCGTGGACCTGCAGCACACAGGGTGTGCGGCCTCGACCCTCGGCCGGCTCCAGGTCTCCGTGGGCGACGGCAATGACCCAGAAGATGATGCCGAACAGCAGCCAGGAGGCGAGGAAGGCCAGGGAGAAGATGAGCAGCATGTAGCGCCAGCGGATATCCACACACGTGGTGAACATGTCAGCCAGGTAGCGCTGCGACTTCTCGTCCATGTTGGCGAACTCAATGTTGCACTGGCCGTTCTTCTTGACGAAGCGGTTTCGGCACCGGCGCCGCGTGTGCACCTTGCCGTTGCCAAAGCCGTTGGCGCCTGACATGGTAACCAGGTGCAGCCCGTCCTCCTCTGACGATACGATGCTGTAGGGGTTGGCCCGGCTGGCTGCGGTCATCCCGGGGTCTGGTGGACCCTGGCCTGCCCCCAGGCTGACTCCAGGCGGGGGCACTCCTGCAAAAGAGAGGACAGTAGGTCTGTCTGGGCAGGCAGCCAAGGCCCATGACAGTCGCTGGCAGTCACAGGCCAAGTTTAGTCACCACAGATCCCTCCCACTTGAAGCCTGCTCCTCCATCCAGCTTCTCAGCTTGGAGAACCGTCTCCCTGGCCTCCCAGCAGCTCCAGCCAGAAGCCTTGGATCCCTCTCGTCTCTTCTCACTCCCATGCCGAGGGCCCTGGTTTCGATATATTTATATTTTCTCTCATAGCCCAAGTCCTGATCACCTCCAGCCTGGACCAAGGCAGGGACCACCTCACCAGCCTCACTTCATCTATGTGCCTTACTCCCAGTCCCCCAATGGCAGGCACCAGGAGCCTCAAAGGTGCCAAGTCGAATCCCATCCTTCCTCTGCTCACAGCCAGCCGACCCTGGGAGCTACACAGGCCGTTCCACAGACACTCCTCCCAGCTGAACACAGACACTCCTCCCTCCACACAGACGCACACACGCCCCCTCACGCTCCCTCACCCCATATATGCACACACACACACACACATCCCTTCCCATAGCAGTGCTGAGGTACAGGCTTTGCTCCGATGATGGCATGACAGGCCCCCCACCATGCCCTAGAAGTAACATACAAAGGTTCTAACCCACACCCTGCACACTCCAGCGCAGGTCTTCATGGGGGCTATCACTAGCAACAGTCATAAGAGCTGTGGCACCGGCCAGTTTTTCCTGCTAAGATTACCGGCTCCCTCACATCAGGCCACCTTACCCTGGGTCTAGAACAGGTCTGCCAAGCCCCAGGCCTCATTATATCTGACACTCCATGTTCCCTCTGCCCATCCTCTTGAAGCCCGAGCACCTAAGCACCCACAGGTTATACCCTTTTCTAATTTTTTGGTCATATGATATAAGGGGTAGCCCTAGAGTAGACACCCAGATTGGGTCCTTTAAGGTTGCCCTAACTTCAGAACAAGCATCTTCCCCCTTCTCTGCTTCTATTACCACCTTTGGCCTCCTACAAGGAATACCTATCTCTGGGCCAGCCTAGCTCACAACCCCCCCCCCCACCACCACCACCAGAGAAGGTCTGAAGAATGGCGCCGTGGCCAGAAAAAACTCATGTCTCAGGCCTGGGCTTCGCACACTCCCCACTGCTCCACAAGGGCCAACGCGAGGCTTGTGGGACCACAGCACGCCTGGCCCTGCAGGCTCTAGCCTGTCTCAGCTGGGCTGAAGGGAAAGTGGGTGTCCACTGTTATAGCAGGGTGTTGACGAGCCGGACGTGCCATGTCTCCCCAACACAGGGCTGCCATGCACCCCACGACCTACCCAATTACACTACAGTTTAGAGCCCGACAAAGCCTTGGAGCCCCCAATCACGTGATGTCACTAGAAAGACAAAGAGATCCCAGAAGGCGATCCCAGGATAGCTGGGCACCAAGGGCAGGCTGGACACTATCAGAGCTTCCCGCCCCTTGGACTCTGGAAGGTGGGTCTGCCTCATGTCTCAGACAAGGAGGCTCAGAACATGGAGACACCTGCCCAGGGCCCATAAGCAGAGACAGCAAAGCTGCAGTTCAATCCCATCTGAACAGCACGACCCCCTAGGCGCATCTGCATCAGAGGCTCAGAGGGACACGGCCTGCAGACTCTGCCACCAACACAGAGGCATGGGCGGAGACCATGACACCAGCCAGCTCAGGAAGGACTCCCAGGGTCTATGTGTGAGCCACAGACCTGCTGAGTCGTGCAGCCTGGCATGGCCTCGAAGCCTGAGAACCACAAAGAGGACCTGCCAGGCGTGGGGCAAAGCACATCCAGACCCTCAAGCCATCCTCCAACAGCCATGGAGCATTTCTAAGAGGTAAAGGAACTCCCAACCAAGACATATGGACATCAAGCAGGAGAGCTGAGATCCAAACCTCATGTCTAATGTACGGTCTCCTACCATGTGACCTCAAGCTTTCCAGGGCCACCTGTCCACACTCTGACAGCCTCCCCTACAGCTGTCTCAGTTGACCACCTCACCATGGCTCTGTGTAGCTGAGGCTTGGGGCCGTAATGGTGGATGCTGTTTCTGTTGGGGCCAGGAGGCAGAGGGTTGACCGAGCTGGGGAACCTGGGAACCATTCTGGGAAGACACCTCAGTCCCAGGTCCCTGAGCCTTCCAAGGGAAGGTGGCCAAGGTTGGGGCACTCAGACGCCGGGGGAAGGCTGCCAGGTCCCGGGAGCCAGGCTTGTGTGGCCTAGAGGCCTTGAGGGATGTCCAGCGGGTCATGGTGTGGCTCTGGCTTGTGCTATGAGCAGCAGCTGGCCTGCAGGGAATAGAACCACAGGAATCAAAGACTGGGGAGCTCAGTCCAGAACCCTGCTCCAGGAAGGCAGCCTTACACCCAGCCAGCCCCCGTGTTGCTAAGAGTGCTGCAGCCACTCCTGGAACCACCTAGGCAGTGTCACAGACCTGGGACTCCCGCTTCGGTTGATATTCCACCCCAACCACAGAGAAGGTCAACTTCGTCAAGTTTATGCCTGTTCTGCGCCTCAAGCCAGAAACTGATCCTGAGCAAAGTCACTCGTCCCAAAACACCCAGAGAGTGTACGTGAGCAACTGAGCCAGACAGAGCCCTGGGGTGTGGAAGCCGCTCACCTGGGGCTTGGGGAAGACAGACCCAAAAGGAAGACCCAGAAGCAGAAACTAGTGTCATAGACAGGCCAAGCATCACAAGGAGACCCCCACACAAAGGCTTGGGCGAGAAAGCACTAAAGATCTCTGAGAACCGTGGGGCAGAGCCTCAGCTGGGAATATGCAGGCTGGCAGGCCAGTGGGCACGTGATGAAACTGAGGAAGAAAAGGAATGGAAGAATTTGTTTCACTTGAAAAAGTCTAAGCAAGAAAAGAATCCGGCACCCCTTTCCATACGTGGGAAACTGAGGCCAAAGGAGAAAACAATGCTCAAGCCAACAGTGGGCAAGACCGTGTTAGCAAGACCCAGCCGAGCCAGTGGGGGTTCTCGGCATTGCCAGGAGAAAACAGAGAGACTTGGTGGAGTACGGTACCTTGAGCCGAAACTGGACAGCACCCAGAATGAGACAGGACACAGTGGGTAGTAGACAGCACGGAAGCTGCAGGAGGAAATGGCCTGTCCTGGATCTACAGGCTTAAGACCAGCTTCTTGTCCTGGAATCTGCAGGCACAGCCTCTCAGCATCCAGTAAGCTTGGAGCACTGGCCAGGGCCAGGACTGGAGCTTTGAGCAAAAAGAGCTTCCACCTAACCTAGGGTGGGGCCTGGGAGTCACTGGGAGGTACCTCCGGATGGAGCAGGACATCCCATGCTAGTCTCCGAGGCTCGGGGCACCTCAGGTTTCGCTCACATCCGGGAGGAACCAGGGCAAGGCTTGGGCCCATATTCCTAGAGGTCAGCAAGCTGTTGATGACAAAGAGATGGAAGAGGCACACCAGCTAAGCCTCCTCCGAATGAAGAAGTAAGCGGTCAAAAGTTATCCAGCGCTGCTACCTGGCCAGAGCACTTCTGAAAGTCCACAGCGCTCATCCATGTAATTCCTGTAATGACCGTGACGATCAAGCCCTTTTCCAGGGAGGAGACTTGAGTCACTTGTCAAGGGCCACACGGCCGAGTAGGGAGTGGAGGTTCTGCTCTGGAGAGCTAAGATGAAAGCGACATCTATTACCTCAGGTCCTGAGGGCAGACCGGGAGCATCATATCCCAGTACCAGTTCTCCAGACTCCCACAATACAATTCACCCCCAAGCTGGCAGTCAACAGCCATCCTTTAAGGGACAGGGTACCCTTGATCAAGCTCCCAAATCAAAGGACTCCTTAGAGGTAAGCCACACGTGCAGGGAAAGCAAGCCTGTGGCCTGCCGTGGTCTTTTTCCTCCACCCGTGCCTATGGCTGTTTTCAATAAGCAGCCACAGAGCTTTTGCCTGCTGTGTCCAGGGGCAGCTAACACAATCGCTACCCATCAGCCTTAGCCCGAGAGTCTCCAAGGGGGTTCCCTGCCTCCGTCACAGGCAGGCGGAAGGCACAAAGTTCTCCCTGTGCCCGGCTCTGCCCAGAGTGTAAACTTGTGGTGGCAGGCAACAGGAAGAGGCACTTTTAGAGGTCACCTGGCCAGAGCTAGGGGCACAAAGGCCAGTGAGGAGGCTGGTCTGATTGGGAAGAGCTCAGCATGGCTGTTCAGGGGATGGGAAGTTGAGAGCACTGACATTTTTTTCCTCCAAATCTGAGGTGGCGATCCCCTGGCCATTTTTCTAAGCCAGACTTCCTGGTCAAACCCTCAGACAACCTTTGCCACCAGTCCCTGCGAACATTCAGGGTTGGTGTATAAGCTGGACTCCTACTCCAAGCCTATGCTAGCTTTGAGGGAAGTAAAGGCCTTTCTGTGCTGGCATGGGTAGGTCAGTGCTGCTCTCCCATCCCCCATCCCTCACCGCTTCAGAGTCCTTGCCCTGATTCCAGTTGCCACATCAATGTCTCTAAGCCTAAAAGCTCTGGTCATTAGATCACGCTCTGCCCATGCACGGGGCAGGCTGGGAAACAAAACCACTGTGAGCAGGTGGGTAAGTGCCTGCTCCACGCGTTCCTTGGCTGGACCCTCAGCCGGGAATCCCCACCCAGTTAGATCCCAGCCTGTTCTAGCTCCAGCCACCTGCCCCCAGCAGTCACCCGGTCAATGACACATCCTTTACCACCCTTTATCTGTTCCTTCTCTGCCTTAGCTCAGTGCTCACTCCCCCCTGGGATTTCCCATGAAGCTAGCTCCCTGCACTGGTAGCTTGGACTCTCCTCACGGGGACCTTAGTGTCTCTCTTCTGCAAAGACTCCACCAACCCCATACCCATCCCCTCCGGGATGATCACTCCAGCAAGAAGACAGCACAGCACCTCTTCCCCCAAGGTGCTCCACCTTCCCTCCTCCCCCACCCGCTCTACGGGGACCTCTGGGTTCTCTTGTCCTGGGTTCTAACCATTAAAACCAGAAG